CATTTAAAAAACTTATTTATTTTCAAAGGAACAAATAATTTATAACATTTGAATGGACTAGAGCTCGTTTATTTGGAGATTTTTACAACCTTCCTATGATATTTACATCGAGACGTCCCTTCTTCCTACAATGATCTATAAGTGAATAAATAATTGTAAACAAACAAACAAACACACACACACACACACACACAAACACAAACACAAACACACACACGTGCGTGTATAATCATTCATTTACTACATATAGATATAAGACCAGTTGGTCTAGAAGAAATTTAACGAATGGTACTCGTGGGTCGTAATCAATTGCATAAAATTGCAATGTTGTTGCATTTTACATCCAAGCCAGCGAGAATTTTCCACGTGTGAATTTAAAGAGCCTTCGACCGCGTAAAAAGTCTCGGAAATACTAAATTATGTACGACTATAGTTGACTTTGTTATCGAACCGAGTAGAGTTGAAAAATTAAAATACGTATTCAGCAATTATTGTTACTTTGATAGCCAATGTCATCCTCTTAAAGGACCTTATACTTTTATTGCACATCCAATAAGTCTTGTCGCGTCATTTTCACGATCAAATTTACCATTTCTTTGATTGTTTCATAATGAAAAATATGCAAGAAGATACGATCAAAAAGGAATAAGGAGGAGGCGCGCTCGGCCTCCTCTCGCGGTAAAAGATGTCGCGATGAAAAAGAAACAAATTAATTTTATGCGAATTGAGTTCTATTTATCCGTGACTTACTCGCAAGGAAAATTCTTTTGTAACAAAGGAATAATATTTTCGAGTGCAATTGAGTAGCCGTTCCGCATTTTTTGAATCGAATAAAATTTCCATTTGCACTCGGCGCTTGAAACGAAGGTGACAGTGCGACACGACTTTGGGGAAAAAGGTCGTCCTGTAGAGCAAAGGGCTGGTGACGCACACACAGCGGGGCGAGCGAGAGTCAGTGAGAGTGAGTAAGAGCGTGGGTGGCAACGGGTGGCGGAGCTGGCGGGGCCATCGGCACGGGAGGGGGGTTCGGACTCGAGGAGGAGGAGGAGGTAGAAGAGAGCGAGTGCGATAGGGCGGCAGGGGGTGGGCGAAGAGGAGAAAAAAAGCTCTCGACGAAAGTAAGAAATAATGCAGTAACTATCGAGGGCGGCTCGTTAATTTCGCTATAATATGCAAATATATAGCTCACTGCGGGCCGCGCGTATATATATGTGTGTGTGTGGGTGTGTGTGTGTGTGTGTGTGCCCGTCGTGCGGCAATAGGCGAGAGAGAACTCGCGGGCGGGTTGCAAGGCGAAACTTTCCGAAAATCAATACGAGCATGGAAACGCGCGTAAATGAACCAGTCGTAGCGAGCGAACGAATGAACGAACGAACGAACGAACGAACGAACGAACGAGCTAGCGAGCGAGCGATATTAATAACTTCAATCCTGTATGTTTATGAGGGTTGCGCGACTTTATGTATTTATTGAGCTAAACAAACTTTATATAGATAATTGATAAGGCGAGGTAGGGGCGCGAGACGGGGGCTGATTTATGACGAACTGAACAAAATACGACAATTCGATCGAGAGCGTCGCATTCAAAACGTACAAACTACTAACCAAACAACCTACCAAACAACCAACCAACCAACCAACCAAATCACCAACCCAACAACCCAACAACCCACCCACCAATCCACCCAACAACTCACCAACCGACGTACTCACGTTAACGAAACGGACGCGAGTCCTACTTTTCGTTTCGTCTAGCCGACTGCGACGGTTCGTTAAATTTTAAAACCACGCTGTCGCGATGTTGAAAAAATAAGGAAGAACCAACGGTGGCGCACTAATAAAAATAATTGCGCAGCCGCGCTTGCTAAGAATCACCTTTAATTGATGGGCTATGCGATTGCGGCTTTATATTAGAAACGCGGTGACGCCTTTTATAATATTAATCGCCACAGTGATTATCCCTCTCCTCCTCCTCCTCCTCCTCCTCCTCCTCCTCCTCTGCACCTAAAATATCAATGACGCAGGCAGTCGTTGCTCCTGGGCACCTCGACCGCGCTCGCTCTTTCTTCCATTCATTTTCCCTCTAGTCCTCCATCCTCGTTTTCACCCGAATTTTAATCTCGATGGCACCGAGAGCTTTCTTTCTCCCAGCGCCATTCGCGCTTTTTATGAACATCCCATTCTCTCCGAAGCGAAATATTACTTGGCTAATGTACGAAAATATTAAACACAAGTATTCTTAGCATTATCTTGCGTATTCCCAATGATTTTACATATGGAATTATTACTTGGACGTCCTACCACATTGACATCATGAAATCATATTAATAAGATCGCTAAGGCCTTGATCAAACTGGGAGATCGGATCGGTGGCATTCTTTCATATATTAGCGCTGGCAATTTCAATATAGAAAGTAAGGTTGAAATATGTGCATATGATTTGTACATATATACCTAAAGCGGGACGCGCGCGCGCGCGCGAGCTCGCACATACTTAGGCACGAACGGACGCTTGGTCGCGCACAGCGCACACGAATACGAAAACGCGCGAGCACTCAGTCACACACAGGCGTACATTTCTTCTTTATTGCGTAATGTACGTTAAAGCATCGTCTAAATTTAGCTTTACTTATTTAATTATTACTTATATTATTTTTATTCCTGCTATTTTTATTATTATTGTTATTGTTGTTTTACTATCATTATCATCATAATCGTTATTATTATTATTATTATTATTATTATTATTATTATTATACTTCATAATATTTTGCTAGTTTTATATTAAATAATGCTTGAAAAATAAATATTTTTTTTAAAATACATATGCTCATACATATTTATTTTAGTTTTGTTTACTATTAAAAATGCTTTTATAGTATCAAATATTTTAGTATGGCGTGTACTGTGCACAGTACCTTTTTTTTTACGAAATGACATATGTTTTGTTTTATAATAGTTATTTAAAGTATAACTTTTGATTCATTACAATTTATTATATAGGCAAATCTATATAATATTGCGCAAAGAAGTAATAAGGTTAATGAGAAAATAAATATTAAAAATGAGAATATTATGACAATCGATGGAATTTTACTCACTATACGTTATTTATTCTATTTCTTTATAATTGTTGAAAATCTCTAAATATTTCTCAATTTAATATAATATATTCGATAATAATATAAATGTATCGTCTTAATAAAAATTTATTATTGAATTTAAATTAGTAATATATCTGGTATATAGTATTCCCATAGAAACTTTGTTGAATTCAATATTTTATTTAATATATTCAGATTCCTTTTTAAATATGCCTCTTTTTTTATATATATATATATATATATATATATATATATATATATATACCATTATTGTCGTCGTCGTCGTCGTCGTAGTTATAACAATACCAACACTAACAGCAATAATAATAAATAAATAAATAATAATAATTGTTATTATTGGATTTTGTAGTTATTGTTGTTGTTGTTGTTGATGTAAATGTTAAAATTATTTTCACAATAATTTGAATAATTATATATTGGCTTTTTAAAAAAGGGTTTGAGCCGAGTTTGTCATTATTCAAGTAAATTGCGAGAAATACAAAATTGTATGAATATTTCGGAGACATTGATTTTCTACGTTATTTTTATAAAGAGGACGATGGCTCATCAAGCCAGATCTATTGCAATAATTACGAAGTAAAAAGTTACTCAAGGGCCATTGGTATTTTTTTTCTATTTTACAATAACAGACTTTTGATTATTCTATTCTTTGTATTTGTTATAATGAGAAATTTCTTAAAATAATCTATAAATATACTGGGCTATTTATGTAAGGAATTTAGAGGGAAGATGGTCATTGCAGAGCTTGTACGTACGAATTTGCAGTCGGTACTTTTTTACATGTATATACTTCATTTACAATGACGCGACTATGGATAATTAAATTTGAATCTAACGTTTGTATACTAAATGGACAAATATCCGTTAGAACGGCGGACAAAGTATTTGCCACAAGTTTCGAAATTCGCTTGTTAGCATTTTTATTCACGTATTGGATAATATTTGTTCGAATCGTTATAGCTTATTATGCATTACCGATTTTTTTTTCTTTCTTTCTTTTTTTTGTTTTTTTTTTGTTTGTTTTTGTTTTGTTGTTGTTGTATATTATTTGTACTTTTACTGCTTCCGTATGTTATCTTCTTCTACTGCCATTACAGATTTTGATTTCTTTCTAATCAATATTGCATTATGAGAAACGCAAAGACTGTTGAGCACAAAGCGGTCATTAATAATAATAAATATACGTCGAAAAATATATTCTGAGACATGTATTATCCATTGTTACGTAAACATATTCATCCAATGTTCTAATTACGTATTATTAAACGCTTTAATAATCATCATTAACAACAATAGTAGCAGAAGCAACAGTAACAGCATTAGTAGGAGCGGTGGCAGTAGCAGCAGCAGCAGCAGCCGCCGCCGCCGCCGCCACCGCTGCCGCCATACATTATTATTCCATTCGAACGTGTCAATGAACTTGATTAGATACTAATATGTGCATTTTTCACTCGTTAAAGATGCAACTGCTTTAATAACAAAAATTTATCGGCTTCTTGCCGCTGACCTAAAATTAGAAATTGCACTGAAAACATACGTATTGTTGTTCCCACTTGCTTACGAAATGGTTGAGCGCAAGCGAATGGCCCGGCCTAACGTCGCTCTTTGCGCTCATCTCTCCCCATCTCCCATCCAACTCGTCCGTTCTTTCCTCGGTTCTTGTTGTTTTTGTTTTTTTTTGTTTTTTTTTTGTTTTGTTTTTTTTTTTTGTTTTGTTTAGAAAGAAAAAAGCTCTTTCAACATAGCGAAGTAGGTTAAGTTAGCCGTCGCCTTGCCGTGGCGCATGAAAATCATCGCCACGCGAAAAGCGTCGACGTCACGAACACGCCCTCATCGGCATCACGACTAAGCGTATTTTTTGTCTTTGTTTTGCAGTTGTTACGAGGGCTTGGCGCTCGCATAGGACGAGGAGAGCGGCCGCGACTGGCGCCCGCTCGAAGAACTTCGGCTTCGGACGAGTAAACTCAGGAGCCGAGGCGCAGCAGCCATCCACCTGTACCCCGAGACCGCTCGACACACACTGCGCCGCCAATGGATTCGGCCTGTCCTGAGAGGAGCGGAGCGAGGCTATCAAAGGGGCCGACTCCTGGTGCGGAAGCCACGAGTCCATGGGGACCGAGGCATGCGTGCCTCTTCCCTCGGCCGGTCACTTATCCCGGGCGTTGCGCAAGCCTTGGCACTTTCTTTCGTTTTCACATTTGGCTTCTCGACTCTCGTTACGTTCCTGTTCGTTTTGTTGTTTATCCGTTTAATTCCGCCGATTACGCAACGTCTCCCGCGCTGCGGTGGCGCGCGGCTCCTTTCTCTTTCCGCCTCCGAGGCCTTTTTTCTCCTCTTTTTTTTTGTTTTTTTTTTTTGTTCTTTTTTATTTTTTTTTCTTCGTTGCCCGCTCGCTCGCGAAACCCGCTAATTTTCGCGGTGGCGTTCGTCTCGTGACGTGTATCCCCGGCGCCGGCAAATATCGTTGTTACCTGCGTTAGTCATGTGCGATTGTAGTTATTTTCCTATTATTGCGTTAGTTACGATTAGTTGCGCCGGCAGCTCGGGGCCTCACCCTTGCGACACTCGCACACGCACCGACGCTGTCGCTCTTATCGCAAGAGGGTCACGCCTCCCGTGTTTCTCGGGGACTCTCGCCCTGGACGTGTCTATCCAACCCTTTGAGAAACTTGGAGCTGACGCGGCATCCGGGACTGGCTCTCTCTCTTATACGTCTGTTTTTCTGAGTGATGCGCGGCGGCTCGAGCGATGGAGGAGAAGAGGGCCCGTGGTCTTCGACACTTTGTTAATAGTGAATTTATATTTAGCAAGACGTTTTCATTTTCTCTCTCGGACTAAGTAATTGTACATTCCCTCGAAAAAAAAAAAAAAAAAAAAAAGGTGCCACAATTAGTAATAATTCAGCATTAGCGTGTTTTTAAAATCATTTGATTAGCGATTATTTAGGTTAATTTTGTAAGAATTATCGTTACGTCGACGACTCTTGATCGATCGCTCGATTTGTTTATATTATTACTTTAGTTGAAAAATTTATTATTCTTAGCCCTTGCAAAATTCTTGATTGGAAATCGTGTTACGCTTGTGTATTGTTGACCGTCGTTTCATTAGAGAGACATTGCGCTAAATAGAAATTTTGCGAAAAAAGCAAAGGTATAATGTTCGTTTGAATGAATCACGTTGTTTTTCGTCCGTGTTTTATATTGATAAAAGTATTGGTGCATTCAAGGAAATTTCAAACTGGTTGAGTTGCCGTTGGGCGAACGACCAAGATGATGACAATGTTCAAGACTCTTTCCTTTATTATTGTAATACGCATAATAACAATGACAGACTTAGCTATAGTTGGACAAAACAAAAAAACAAAAACAAAAAAAAATACAAAAAAAAACAATGAATAAAGAAAAAAAAAGATAAACGAAATAAATAAATACATTATATCAATATAAAACGCGCCTGTTTCCAAGAGTTTTAAGGCTGATGAAAGGGTCACACGCGTATGATTTTTCAGAGCCGCGTGCAGCGCAAAAAGTTACGTATCTACGATTGTTTGGCCTTTTTCTCTTCTTACCCCCTTTCCACATCTTTTCAATGTCGCCCGCGCGCCCGCGCATTCTTAAGCCAGTGGAACGCACTCGCGTAGGCGAGCGCGCACGCCTTGAAACATGTTCTTTTTCTACGTGCATAGCGCACTCGTCGAGGAAAAACATTCGAGTTCCGTTAATGACTTTTTTTTCTTGCGGGAAAAAAGCAAGCAGGAAGGAAGGAAGGAAGGAAGGAAGGAAGGAAGGAAGGAAGGAAGGAAGGAAGGAAGGAAGGAACGAACGAACGAACGAACGAACGAACGAACGAACGAACGAACGAACGAACGGGGGATGGATAGAAGGGATCGAAAGCGAAGAATAAAAGTGGAAAACGCGGGGGTGGAAAAAGCACTGTGAGAAGGAAGCGGCACGTATTTTCCTTTTCTCCTTTTCTTTTTGTGCCCCCCCCCCCCGCCCTCTTTATTATCACACACACGCGCACGTACACATACATACGCGCGCGCACACACTCTCTGATTTTCTCTTTCCCCACACTAACTCAACTCACTCAGTCACTCGCTCGCTCGCTCGCTCACTCTTACCTACCATCTCCCTCCGGTCCTTCACACCCATTCGTTCAATCTCCACACTCGTGAATACATATATTCTATCGCAACGCGAGCACGCATACGCGTCCGCGCACAGAGAGCTCTATTATACGTGCACGCGTTGTCTGTGTGTGCATGTGTGTGTGTGTGCGCGCGCGCGCGCGCGCGCGTTGTGTTTGGGTTTGTGTTTGTGTGCGTGTAATGTGTATCATCTATTCCCCCTCGGCGGCGTTCCGTTTCATCTATATCGAGAATCGGGCGAGCTCTCCTGAATTCTCTCGGCGCGGGTTTTTTCCCTACTCGTGCGCGCACTTGCCGAAGGAGGAATAATTGCTCCTTCCGCGTGTAGCTTCCGGTTCCGAGCAACAATGCCGAGATGAAATACGCGCGGAGTAAGAGCGCTTCTGTAGAATGAAGCTAGTGGCAGGCGTATAGTAGTAGTAGAAGTAGTAGTAGTAGTAGAAGTAGAAGTAGTAGTAGTAGTAGAAGTAGTAGTAGTAGTAGTAGTAGAAGTAGAAGTAGTAGTAGTAGTAGAAGTAGAAGTAGTAGTAGTAGTAGAAGTAGAAGTAGTAGTAGTAGTAGAAGTAGAAGTAGGTAGTAGCATTAGTAGCGATAGAACTAGGAGGTAGTAGTGGAAGTAGCGGCGATGGGCCGTTGGGAGGAGGGTGGCGGGACGCGATGTGGTAGGATGGGGTTTCGGCGCGGTGGAGGAGTAGGAGGGAGAGACAGAAGAGAAAAACAAGCGGCAAGGGTACAGAGGAAGAAAAAGAGAGCGCATAAGACTCGACACTCTATATCGACCGATGAGCCTCGGGGTGCCGAGCGACTCGCCGCGATACGTGGCACCGAGCGGCTATACATACACGTACACGCGCGCGCATGAAAAAGAGGCGAGTAGCGCACGCACGCGGAGAAAGGCTGCGAGTACCACGTACGTAAGTAAAAAAGAGCTGCTTGTGTATTACGCGGGGGTGGACGGGAGTCTAGTTCTTTTTTTTTTTCTCTCTTTTTCTTTCTTTCATTCTTTCTTTTTGTTGTTGTTGTTGTTGTTGTTGTTGTTGTTGTTGTTGCTTTCGTACGATCGTCATGGAATTTTGCAAGTGCGCGCATCGAGAGCCGTGCGATCAATCCTTTTACTCTCTCCGTCGGGCAATATAAAGAATTTCGATCGATTCAATTTATCCAAATGCAGGGTATGGACTCTCCGCCGATGGAATGAATGGCAACGTGCAATTCGGCATATGTAGGCGCCATCGTAGCTAATGACGAGCCTAGGTGAGAGTGGTTCTTGCCTCCTCGAGTCTTTTAACCGTCATTCCATTGCTTTATCCTCTTTCTTTCTGCCGTTCGATCCTTGCGCATCTCAATATATAGAATCTACGTGGCATCCGCGAAAGGCGCGCGTATAGATTCTGCGTTGTTGCCGCTGAATCTCCCCACCCCTCCCCCTCCCCCTCCTACCCTCACTCACTCACTCATTCACTCATTCACTTACTCCCTCCCTCTCCACTCCCTTCATCGAGCGAGGAAAACAATATCCCTTTGGCGCCGTCATGTCATTCGGGACGAGCCTTACTTTCCTCTTTATTATAGCGTTAATCTAGTTCGACTTAGTTACATTTTTTAGTTTTTTTTTTGTTTTTTTTTTGTTTTTTTGTTTTTATATTTGTTTAATGTACCAATATGGAAATCCAATGTGTTACACCAAATAATGCATCATCTTACGTAAGCGTTCAACGATAAGATTCATACATGCTGTGTTGCTCCAGCTAAGGAGCACATCTTGGTATACGTAAAAACTGTAATGTGAAAATAAAAGAAAAAGAGAAGGCATAAGGCGAAAAAAGGGAAAAAAGGAAAACGACGAATAAAGGTGCAAAGTAGTGACAAGAAAAAAAATGAGGGAGATAAAAGAAGAAAAACGTGAAGAAAAGCACGGAGAAAAGGAGACGGAGCAGGAAGAAAAATGTAGTGGAGGAAAAAGTAGAAAAAAAATGGGAAGAAAAAGGAGAAGAAATATAAGAAGCCGATGATGAAGAAAACAATAGCGTGTTTAGCGTTTTATTTTTAACTTTTAAAATGGCATGAATCTTATCGCTGTCATAAAAACGAATGATCCACTTCGTGATATTGTTTTCATTTTGACCGCGGCAGAGTGAAAAGCACGAAAGAAAAGCCGTAAAAAACCTTGTCTCGAATAGTTCCACCGGTGCATTCGAACGTTACTTTGAGCCGAGAGACACAAAGAAATTCAAAGAAACAACGACACGTGCATTTAGTTGTTTCCTAGTTTTCCGCGTAGAAGTTTGGTGAATCGGGAGAAGAGTGCGACACACGATTAGACGAAGCGAGCATATCTCTGTATGCGCATCCTGCCTATATGTCGATTTAACTCCGCTCTGATTAATGTATGTACTTGCATTAATATTATTCTCTTTGTTGAAGAGCCGTCTAAGATGCCGTTCACGCCTCCGTGCGTGTGTTTAGCTGCTTGTCTACCTGAGCGCGTGCATGTGTGGGAATGCGAAAACGCGCTCGGTCCCCTTCGGCCTCAGGGCCTGATCTCCACTGTCGAGCGCATATCCATGTATACAAACGGTTGTGCGCGCAAAAGTGTGTATATTTGGAAGGCTCTGCATATGCGTGTTGTGTGCGTTATGTGTGTGTGTGTGTGTGTGTGTGTGTGCGCGCGCGCGCGTACGTGCGCGAGGGCGGCTGAGAGGGAGGAAGGGTGGGCAAGTGAGTTCGTTCGTTTCGTTTGCCGAGAGGCGAATAACGCAAGCCGCGGAAACTCATGTTACTCACGGTGAGATAATGTTAC